CCCCCCCCCCCCACAAACCAAACACAAAACATACCTCTAAACCAGTTTTTTTAGTTTTTTTTTTTTTTTTTTTTTTTTTTTGGGGGGGGGGGGGGGGGGGGTTGTGAGTCACTGAGTGGGTGGGAAGACGGAATGAAGTTGTTTTTTTTTGTGATTTGAACTGAGTTAAAGGTGAGAGAAGTTACGAGAACCAACATTTGGCTTAAAGGTATGAAATAGACAGGAAATAGATAAAGGATAGGTTATGTAATGTTAGGACAGACGGTCTACACAAGCCTTCTTGCGAACTTGAGAAAAGCATAATTTGGTAAGTCCCGCACCGGAAAACTGGGGATTGCAAGCTCCACGAACCCTTTTGCCTACCTCTACATATTTCTTGGTTTGATACATATCAGTTCAAAATTACTGGGATATTCCCACGCAGAGTTGAGATTTGTTCAGATACGAGTTATTATTATGGGTCATATTAATGTCTGAACGATAGAAACGAGCAATGGTAACGGTCGGAAATGACATTGTGTGGATATTGACCGTGTTTATTATTATGTTGTAACTCGTTTAATATTAAGTAATAATCTCCTATTGGCCGGAGTATGTAGAAAATGGAATGTTTGAAAGGGATAGTGCTTATAATGACATGAAATTATCCAAAATATTCTTTCTCACAATAAAGCGCTAATGCTAGCAGCTGGTACCCCGTCTAACACTGATTGAATTCGTACTTCTTTTATAACTAGATATTCGAGGCTAGAGTTGTTGAATGAAAGCGATGCTTGCGTGCGCATTGGCGTAAGAGTATATGTAATAGATTGACTGCTGATCGTACCAAAATGTCCGTTGGACGAGCCACAGAGTGGACAAGAGCTATGAGATTCGACTTGTTCGCGACTCGATGTCAACTGTTCATTCATGGCGTCATCTTGATGCGATGTTGTATGACTTCCAGTATTTCCGTAGTCGATAGACACAACACTACCGCTGAAAGGAAAGAAAGTAGCAGGAGGGCGGACATCTTGAGTATGAGGTTGGGCTTGCAGCATTTGACTTGGAGAATTAGTATTCATATACGTCATATCTACATTACAATGGAGAGAAAAAGAAGTAGCATAAAAACAGAAATTTTGAGCATGAGCAAACTAAATAGTTGGAGGATTAGTTCATAGACGTCATATCGATATTACCATCGAGAGAAAAAGAGGTAGCGTGAGGACGGACATCTTGAGCTTGCATTTGAATTGGAGGACTGATGTTATCAAAATTGAAATCCTCCGGTTGATAGACATTGTCATAAAGTCTGACATGGTTATTGTTTATATTAGGTTCGCTCATTGCATCAATGTTATTCGGAGGATAAGCAAAAGAAGTTGAAAGTTTTCGTGTTTATATTCAAAATGATGGTTACTCACATTAGAGCCGAATTGTGTATATTTGAGTGGGAATAATATAACTATGCCAAATTGCTTATCAAATACAAAGGTTTTTTTTAATTGCTACTTGGTAAAGTTTGTAAATTATTTCTATTTGCGGCTGATAACAACTTAGAAAAGAATTAACCGCTATCCTAATGTGGCTTTCCTGCAATGCTGTCCCTGCGGTTTGTTTGTTGGGGTGTCATTTCATTATGAAATGACACCCCAACAAACAATAGAGATGTTAATAGGAATATGTGCCCCGGAGTTGCTCCGGGTTTGCTCCAACCTAAATCGGAGTACAATAGGGGTGGGTGGAAACTATGGAGTAGTGGATCTGGAGTACTCCATGTGGAGTAGCTTGTTATGGAAATATCTGCAATAGAATGTATCACAGATGTAGATGTTTTTATTACTATTGGTTCAAATTTCGATACTGATAATAATTTCTTTCTTACACAATGTCTGAATATGCGAACGAAACTGAGTATAGTAATAGTGAGCGGGAGCCATCGTTAGCTGCAGAATCAACAAGCAGCGCAGTAGAAAACAGAGAAACAGTCTCTATTTTAAGTACCTCACGTGAGACTTCGTGGGTTTGGAACTATTATTCAAAAAAATATAACAACAGACATGAGGTCACATCCATAGTCTGTTCGTTGTGCCAGACTTGTTACAAACCCTCTAATGCAGCTGGCACACTAGCTAAACATTTACAAAATAAACATCCCAATAAGGCTATTAAAAAGCAAAGTACTCTGGATGCTTATACAGCCAAGCCATACTCAAGAACGGACAAAAAATACCAGCAGCTTACAAATACCCTTATCCAATACTATTGTCTGCTGTCAACTCCCATTTGCTATTGTGGATAATCCATATTTTATTACAATGCTAAATACATTAGATGGACGCTACTCAGTGCCTTGCCGGCAAACTATAAGAAAGGAAGTAATAAACCGTCATGATAGTATGCGTGAAGAAATCCTAAAAGAGCTTGTAAAACCAAGGAAATTGTCTATAACATGTGATATATGGAGTTCTGTTACAATGCAGTCATACCTCGGTGTGACCGTACACTTCATTGACGATGAATGGAATTTACGCCATTTTCTGCTTGATCTATGCTATTTTCCCGGCCAGCATACTTCTCAAAGGATTGAAGAATTCATTATGCGTGTTCTTGAAGATGCTAATATCATCAACAAACTCTTGTGTATGACAACTGATAATGCGGCATCTATGGTAGCTGCAGGTCGTGCAATAAAAGAACGATTGTCAGCAGTCGGAAATATCGAATTTATCCACCATCGATGCTCTGCACATATTCTCAACATTGCTGTTCAACATGGTTTGCGACGGGTATCACCAATTGTAACGAAGGTTCGAGAATTTGTTAAGAAAATACGGCAATCATCAAGGTTATGTGATTCATTACGGGTTGTTTGTCAGCTCGAAAACACAGTTGAGTTAAAACCTGAGTTAGACGTCGAAACGAGATGGAACAGTACATATCTGATGCTTAGGAAGTTCCAACGTATGCGCGATGTTCTTAATATACTTGTTGCCAAGCATCGAGAGCTTGATGCTCTTTATTTACATGATGACGATTTGTCTAAGGTCAGCACAATGATTGTACTACTTGAACCTATGTATGACGCAACCGAAATACTATCAATCCGACAATAAGTGACGTGAGACTTACGTTTGGTGCTTTACGCCATCATCTGCATACGTTTGTGCAGAACCACACTGAAGAGAGTATAATCGTAGTAGTAGATGCAATTAACAACAAGCTTGAAGAATATTGGGCATATGTAAACGATTCAACTAAAATCGGTGCTCTATTGGACCCACGTTCGAAAACAAAGACATTCTTAGACAGTAACCAACGTGACGAGGCAATATCATTATTGAAAGAATGCATGCCATCCTACATAGATGTCGAGGGTGTAAACAATGCTAGTACATCGACCAGGTGCCGAAACAAACGATTATTTTTCGAATCACTTATTTCAGATCAGGCAGTTGACGAAATACCTCCCGAAGATGAACTTACTCGATACATCGCAACACCTGTTTCTTCCGACTCAGATTCATTAGGTTGGTGGCGTCGTTTTCAGGGAGATTTTCCCATTCTCGCAAGAATGTATTTAAGTATGCAAGGTTCTAGTGTACCTTCAGAACAGGCTTTTTCAATGGCAGCAAACACGATAACGAAGATTCGATGCAATCTAAAGCCAGATACTGCACGTGCTGCAATGTGTCTGAAAAGTTGGATTCAGCAAGTGTGTGATAAACGAGAGGATGATTGTGAGGACTTAATACTTCTTGAGACGTAATTGGACATATAGTATCTCGTGTTTAGTTACTCTCGCACTTGCACGCACGAATAAGATATGTCTTTATTAGGACGTATAATGTAACTGTAAAAATTCTTGTGATGTATTCTAACTGTGTTAGTTTGATGGGTGCCAAACTCGTTTCTAAGACAAATTACTAGTAAGCGATTCTGAAATAAGCAGTGACGGTGATAAGTAAGACATATGGATTTGTATCAGGAAAGTTTTAGTGTAGTGAATCATACAAATTGACAAATCATTTGTATGATCGTGAGCTGGGTGGACTATTCTTATGGCTATGTAAATGCTCAAAGAGCAAGAATATATTGTCAAATGGATGACAATGATATGAGTTGACAGTATTTGACTGTCATGGTTTAGTGCATGGGATTTCCTGGGCACTTTGTAATTAAGTGTAAATAACTTGTTTAATAAATTTTGATTGTCATGAAATTACAAATTAAATATGCCATTTTTGCACATAATTTTGGCACCTGTGTAATAATCATTAAAATATTGGTGATAAACAACTAATCTAAATTGATTTCATATAAGCACGAAGACTCCACTCCAGAGTGTCAACCTGGAGTGGTTTAGGTTGAACTTACTCCACTGGAGCACAACCCAAATTCAATCCACTCCGCTCCATTAACAACGCTGGCTATATAGATATATAAATTTACCAGAGGATATTTATAGTAAACCGTCCCCAAAATTATAGATTTCACATTTTATACATTTTACACTTTATGTAGTTAAAATCTACCCTTTTGCTATTTATATTTTTATTTCGCGTTATAGCCGACACTAATTCTAATCGAGTATTTATCTATCCGCTTTTCCCGATTATTAGCATGATTTTTTGATTTATGACCAATAATAAACATGTATTTCTGGATTATTCAAGCAGATCACTATCACGGTGATTATGTTATAACGATAGCCAATAAAGTGTAAAAAAAGTAAAACCTGTGCAATTCATTTGTAATTGGTAGAAAAATCTTTTATAGCGGGGTATAAGCCCCTTAAACTTTATGAAAGAGAGTGTGTGGAGAAGCCATCTATGCAATACGAGACATACTAGAGGAGGCTCTCAAAGACCCTTTATTCGGCAGCTCGACCATTTGAGCGTAACAAGCAAACGATGGCCTATGGAAAAAGTAATGGCTTCATATGCTATCTCTGCTTGTTGAATAATACGAAAATTAATGTCCAAGTTTGATGTTGCATACTATTTAGATTCAGCAGGAACGAGCAATGAAGGATTAAACACTATGGCAAACCTCGACTACAACAGCAAGAAGAGCGGTAGATTGCAGAAGAAAAGAATGTCAGACATGCATGGAGAATACGTAGACGATGCTCTGTCGCAACATACAGAAAATGCTCTTGTGCTAAATGTTGATGATTATCACAACATTCATGCAACGACAACCTGACGTAACTAGTACTTCCTGAGCAGCACATATGGCAACTATCTTACGAATCCATGCCCGATGCCAGCAATACCATTTACCATCTTGACGAGCGGTTCATTGTAAATTTGAGCGTCTCTTATAAAGACCGTTTGCGGAGAGGAGAACTCAAAAAGTCTTAAGATGCATTGATGTATATAAACTTTCCAAAGTTTATATACAGAATGCTGGGACAATGATTCAGAAAAACGACCAACCAGTGAACAATGCTATCACCTTCGATGATCTAACCCCTATTGCTCCCGCCCACTGGAAAACTCTATACTTATCGATTTCGTTAAAAGGTATAAACGATGCACACCAACCTTTCCAACTATGCATTCCTGTTGTCGCTGATTGACCTGGTCAGTTTTTCATTCGCAAAGCTATCACACAACGTCTCATCATGAACAATGAAACCATTGGCATTCGGAAAGATATATCAAACACATGACCAGAGCATCTGATGGTCACTAAATGTGTTATATGCTTAAAAAAATGTTGATGCAGTAATAGCAAATATGAAGAAAGGACCACCAATATCAAATGAATTCGGCTCTGGATCTCATACAACTTGGTTTCGATACCGAACTCTTCATACTCTAAACAAGACATTAGCGTTGCCAAGTTTAAAGAACTCGTTCTTGTCCGAGTTCATTCTAGCACACTCAATGAGACTCTCTCGGATCCATCATACACAAACGGAAAGAACACTATAGAGTTGAGAAGAATGTGGTAATGTAGATTAAGCATACGACAGTTTAATTGATTATTAAGATGTTTATAATAAAAGTGATTTGTGATGGATGCCATTGCGTATTTGGGAAACTCTTGCGTAGTTTGAAGTTTTTGGATATCGTGCGACTATAAAAATAAAGTAGCTGTTCAAATATCACGACTCTTCGTCCAACCGAATAAATATTAATCCTATCCCATCTATTACTTCACCTTCTGTGAATAGTACTTTTCCAAGAGCATGAAACTTTTAAAAATTCGAGCTTACTCATCTCCAGCCGTGATCAATAATAGTTATGACATGACACCGTGATCTCTTGGTATCCCTTGATTGAGGACAAGATTCAATACTCCCTTCTTCGGCAAGATCACACTTGCGAATCCATTCTCATCCACCTTCGCCAATGTCGCGTCAGCGATGGAATTTTGTTTCCGAATCGGACGCTACCATCAAACGTAGACGAGCCAGATGAGTGAAGGATTCGGACGTACTTGCCCAAGGCTGATTGATGACGACTCGCACAAGATGTCGAAGTGAAGACGGGAAAATTCGAATCTTGAGTTTTAACTCTACTGTATCGTCGGTGAGACTGAGGAAATCGTTTTGATGATTGCCGTTAGAGAAATGAAATTATTTGTGCATCATCATGCGAAATCCGCAACAAATAGAAAAAGAGAATGAGAATAGCACAAAGTGGTAGACAAACACTGATAGTAGGAATGTAAGGACTAAAAGCGCACGTTGCCCAATGTGCCTTTTAATGAGTGCCTTTGCCCCCGGCTTTGCTACTTACCCTTCATACCCAATCTGTCCACTAACATCAAATCGCTTAGCCTGACAAGCACTCTACCAGTTATTCATAACAGCTATGCTCAGACACATCTACTTTCAATGTGTTAAAACCAACGAATGATAATCCAATGAAAATGAAGATATCTGGGTGTGTTGTGAGTCACTGAGTTGATGTGAAGTTGTTGTTCTGTTTTTTTTTTGGCGATTAGAACTGACTGGTCTGGCGGGTTAAAGGTGAAAGAAGTTACGAGAACCAGCATTTGACTTAAAGAAGGTATGGAATAGATAGGAAATAGATATAGGATAAGTTATGTAATACTAGGACAGACGGCTTTTTTTGCGAAATTGAGAAAATCATCATTGCTTGGTAAGTCCGGAAACTGGAGATTTGCAAGCTTCACGAACCTTTTTGCCTACTTTATTAGCAGATGTTTCCGCGAGCTGCATAGCACTGGGATATTCCCACGCAAGGTTGAAATCCGATTGCTATGTATTTGTATTTGCAAATCCGAGTGGATTAACTAGTTCTTTTTTTTCGCTTTCAGAGAAGATCGATGTTTGGACGTTATAAAAAAATGCAAAGCATTGAATCTATTACACAAAATTTGTTTCCGCAATTTCGTCATACCGATACTCCGCGTGATGTTTGTGTGATCTTTGCTAAAAACATTATTATTTATAAATAAATAAAGCAAGGGTCCTGATCTTGTTATGAATAGCGATAGGCATCTAAACCAAATTTGGAAAGGACAAAGAATCGGAAATTTATCATCAAGTGACTGGACAAAGTAGCTCCTATTGTGAAAGACGACAACACAGAATGCGATAGATATATTGACATGAAACCAGAAAGTGGAAAGCAATGACTTTACACTATTGGAAAGCTAATACTTTATAACAATGAATATTAATATGAAACTTCCACCAAAAGAAACTTGCCATTAATATTGTCATCTGCAAGACAAGCATACATGAGCTATCCTTCTTTCTCCCACACGAGTCAAAGCTAATGCTAGTATTAGCTGATACACTGCCTAACACTGATCATTACGTTAGAGCTGTTAAATGAAAGTGATGCGTAAAAGCATATGTAATAGATCGACTATTGATCGTACTGAAATGTTCGTTGGACGAGCTTTGTGTGAGCTTCGATTTGTTCGCGACTGAGTGCGTTCAACTGCCCATTCACGGTGTTAACGCCTGGATGGTAATAAGATACTTTAATGCGATGCTGTATTTCCAGCATTGCCGTAATCGATAGTAATCATAGGCATCATACCGACATTATTGAGGAGGTAGCAGTTGGAAGGAAATCTTGAGTATCAAAGTTGAAGTCCTCCGGCTGATAAACATTATTATAACGTCCGACATAGTTGCTGTTTATATTATTAGGTTCGCTCATTGTATCAATGTTATTTGTGAACAGAAAAAAAAGTTCATAAAAGCGTGCATCGGCGTTTATATAGAAAAACGATGTTTGAGTCAAACTGTATATCTAATTATAATTTGCATCAATCACATGTATGCCCAGTTATTGTTTTAATTTTGAAGAAGACCAATTTATATTAACGAAGTAAGTGGGGAAAAAACTGTTATTTTAAACAGGAAACGCGTATATTGGCACATGAGCAAGTAGTTGGGAGTCCTTCAAAGCATGTTTTTTCTAATACGCATACAAAATATTTAAGCCTTGGTTATTATTATTGTAATTCGATTCATATTACCCACACAAACAGTCTTCGAGCGGAGAATCCGAGAATGTAATGTATGCTGGCATTGGAGTTTCTATTTCCTCGGCAGTGAGAACATTTGACATTTGCTTTAAATATTCCTCGATCACTTTGTTTGCTATCTCCGAAAAGTCAATGGACTTGTTTGAATCATATAATTATAAGTTAGTAACAACACTCGATATCAAATAGGCGTACCCCTTGGTTATCAAAACGAATATTACATGACAGCTAAACTAATCGTTGATTGGTTAATTAGAAATAGAAACGAATAGCTTCTATGACAATTGTTTATTTGTAAATGCTAACTACTGCGTTGATGCTCAGTGAGTCTTTAGTCGACTCGGAATACAAGTCCGAGTGAACCATATTGCTACGTACATTGTATAGTCGCCGTCAACTTTACCCGGGGGGAGCGGTTCTATTCTTCTATTTATTTATTTTATTTATTTTTTTTTTTTTGCGACTTTCGAAGATCATTATCTTCTTGCAGAATGCTGCCTATATTGCTCTCTCCCAAAACGCTTGCCAATTCCGAAGCGAAACCTTGGCGGATGTTTGACAATTACAGTGGTCGTCATAAATAATTTGGTACACAGCAAATACAAAATTGGTTCATCATAACCATTACCATTAACTGATTGCGTTTTCAACAGGATAACTCCCCTATCCACAAGGCAAGTGAAATGACTTGACGCCATGGTATTCGAATTATTGATTGGCCTTCTTACTCGCCAGCTATCAAAAACCTGCGGGAGGGGGAAAGATAGATTATTGAAAATTGCACATAGTTAGTATCAATGTATGCACAAAACTTATTTTAAACATACAAAATAATAATAATAAAATTTTCTGTTTGCGAGGTTACCACGCCACGTAAATCCGGATATTTATGACAACCATTGTACAAGAAGTCATTTCCCAACAGTCATTTCCCCGACAGTTATTATCGTACTTATCATATGGAACAATCATAATAAAGTGATAAATTTTAAACATTGTCCCTACAGAAAACAAAAGGGCGCTATTTTTTTTGCCGATTTTCAATGCCCCTTGACGAATTGATACTTGGCTTTAGTTAAGATAAACTCAAAACCTTGGCTTCAGATCAGCCGCAAATCCTGCATTTTGTTCGATCATTGCATACACCTATCCACGGCAATTACGTTATTCTTCAAGTTGCAATAGCTAACCTTTGCTCAATGTAATCTCCCCCCCCCCCCCCCCCCCGTGTTTCAAAACCAAATATGCACAAAGTCAGTTGCTATTATGTAGTTTGCTGTCAGTCTAGTTGCCAAAGTTCTCAGTGACAAAGACGTGTCTTTTCGAATGTACTGACCGATGACTTGTGCTGCGCCACACGTAATTTTTAGGTCGGTTATTACCTCCTTTATGCAAAACGTTGCCAGTTTTTCAATATTATAATAGATTGTTGAAGGTGTATATTAGTCAGAATGTGCAGATTTGACACCTTGTTCCAAAAAAGTAATATGGCTTGGCTTTCTTTTCAGTAAAAGACATGTTGAAAATAAATCACGAAAAAAGTTACATAGCAATATCAAAGCAAACCTTTATTATATACAAAACAAAAACTTTGCGTTTGTTTTGAAATCTTCGCGACGTAATTTGGATCCAAATTGGGTAAATTAGAACTGTTTAAATTACGCGACAAATTTCCAAATTTTTTTGTTACCCCATGACTGAGAAGAGGAACCCTGATTTACTTTCCTGTTGTATTAGATTCTTGGTTCTTCTGTTTTAACGTTACTATGGTTTCTTTGGTTCAACAATTTCGGCAACCGTCTGTCTAATTTATTAGCAACACATTAATTAGTAAGTTTAAACACGAGAGTCGAATCTCATCTACTTATACCCAAGCACTTATTCAGTTTTACCTGTGCAATGAGCAAATCTTAAAAAAGTCTATATTAACGTCTTTGCATCAACGCGTTTATATCACGCTCTTTTTACCTCTTTTTTACACATAAACACTTATCCGATGCCCTTCTCTGTATCACTCATTCCCATATTCGAAGCAATTCAAGATCTTCACTCACCAACTCTTTAATCCCACATTAAACCACAATCAACGATACGTTCATCGTTCTTTTTCCCTTTCTTTTTCTTTGAACTTATGACCCAGACTTTGCGAACGGTTTTGGTTGCGATATAACCTTTAATATATGAGTCGGTGTAAATATGGGACAATTGTAATTTTACTATTAGGCATTAACCGAATGCAACGATTATTACGATTCTGGAATTAGACACGTTTTACATGTTGTCTTTTCCATACAACTTACCTTCTTCAACACTTCATCAATATACTGCTCAAACTTTTTCATTATCTTGTCCTATATTCAAGCACGTCCTATCATCTGCAAGTTCTGTGTGTTCTACAACATAGCGAAACGAAAGTTTAACTTGATGCAGTGGTACAGCAATTTTTTGTCGCATTCCATTGCATTAAGTCACGTGCAGGAATTCATGTCGCAATCGTAGTTTAAAAACTCTAGTCACCGACCATATGTCGTCTTTCGTCTTCTTTGAACAGAATGTTGGAGAACTAAGGGAAAATAAAAACGTAGACAAGTATAGCGTTGTTGATATGAATATAAATAGTTCAAACGAAACAAAGTAAAAGCAATATTGAAATCGTAATAATAACAATAGCTCACAAGAAAATGCTAAGCTGTGTATTTGTACGTGGGTGGTTCAAAAAGTTTTGACACAGTGCACATATCTCAGCAACCACTGATCATTGCAGCTCCATAAATAG